TCTTAGTGCCACCGTAGTCTTCCTGTCGAAACCCTGCCTTTCTTAGCGCTCTTGTATTTATCTTGGCCTGACTGTTTTGTTTCTCTCCTGCGTGTCACTTTTCTTGCCACGATTCCGATCTTCTGGGTGCAGATCCTTCTAGGTGCCGCTCCTGTGCTTCTTGCCCCTTAAACACGAAATTTTTTTATTATCCCTCTCTTGTTTTGGGCCCTCAACAGGCATGCGCCCAATTACAGAGTGACCCGCACAATGCTATTTAGAGGTGCCCCCCTAAATTTCAACTTTAAACAACGAACTATGACTTTCAATACAAATACGACATTAAAATTGAACGTGACTAATTTAATTTAACGTAAAAAAATTAATTTGACTTGATATCGCCTCTCTACGTCTTCGTACTATAACGTAAATTAAATTACGTGCTTTATTTATTACAATAAATGTATAACAGCCTTAAAATATTATTTCGAATGCACAATTTATAACAGCGCGAACTATTTATTACTTCGGCGTTGAAATGTACTGAAACTCAATTTGTTTGCTTATATATCTAACCCCCCCCCTTTCTCGAAAGGTTTCGAGCACTTCCGAAGCCATCCGACTATTCTAGAACGTTCTCAAACAAACACGTCACATTTCTCTGAAAGATTACCTCACATTCGTCTTCGTTCTTTATCGCCGATGACTAATTTTTCATGGCGCATCGATGTCTATTGAAATTTCTGGAATGTTCGCTACAATACCATGAAGAATAGAAGCAGATGTCATCCCCCACCCTCACCCCAATATTTAAAAAATCTGGTCGAATGTCTGGATTATCTATGAACCGTCTTTTTTTAAATTGGCCGGAAATAACCCAAATTTTTCGTCCAAAAATAGAAGCGTGTATATTTGTTTGTTTTTGAATAATTGTATTTTTGAATTTGTTTTTTATTTAAAAAAAATGCGGGGCGTTCGGTGTTCCATTAAAAAAAATGGGGCTATTTCCAGCCAATTCGAAAGTGAAAAATTGTCATTATGGCCAATAAATTCTTTGCCGACGACTCTGATTTGAAAAAAATCCGTTCGGGACTTACGGCGCATCCTGTATAACACCAAGACCGTTACTTAACTTTGCAACAAAAAAAGAAATTGTAGTTCGACCTGAAAAAGACCATCTCTAATAAATTTTAACCTGAAACAAATGCAAATCACAAACAAGTGTAAAGTTGACGCAGGGTAATAATGGAAAAAAAACCAGGGCCGGATTGATCATTAACGGAGCCGTGTACCACGTTTTCGGTGCGGGGTCTTCTTGTGGGTTGGCGATGCTGAACCTCGCCCTGAGATTATGCTGCATATATACTGCATAATAAAGCATATTTATTATTAAAAAAAAATACCAGCACGAAGCACGAGTTAAAGCAAAAAGTGAATAGATGAAAAAATCAAGTAGACACGACTTCTTCAAATTTTTTGGATTCTTTAAAATCTTTATTTTTTACATTTTTGAAGTCTCTAAATCTACAGATTATTCAGATTCCTGCTTCCATTTCACGATTCAGACTTTGCAGCTTCTTTACATTCCGTCAGATTCTTCTGTTTCTATATGTCTATATGTATTCTATATATTTTTATGATCCCTGAGCTTCTTCCTTGGATTCTTTCGTTCCTTGGGATTCTTTAAAATCTCAGACTCAAGCGTTTTTTTAATTCGTCTAGATTACTCAGGTTCTTCGGATTCTTTGATAATCTTCAATTCCTCCATATTCCAGTTCGGATTCCATCGGTTTTTCTTATTGTTACAATTCTTCAGGTACATAAGATTCTTCAAATTCTGATTTTGCAACAGATTCTTAGAAGCTTCTTCAGATTTCTCCTTTTCTTCGAATTTTTCCTCTTATTGAAATTCTTCATTTTCATAATCATAAGGTATAAAGTACTATTAATATCATATTTAAAAAATTCAAAATGGCGCACAGTAACCATTTTAGAAGTTAGACGTGTAAATTTTGCCAAAAATTAGTATATTATACCTTACCCCCCTTCTAAATTTCAACTCGATATGCCCTACCGTCTACAATTTAGGTGGGAGGGGGGGGGGGGGAGGAGGTTGATCAAAAATTTGTTATACAGGGTGTGTCACTAGCCAATAGTACAATGAATAATCAAGCGGCAATGACGCGTATGCAGAAATTAAGTATGCGTCTCTTTGTAATTTGTACAGGGTGTCCCAAATTGGAGAATGACCATTGAAATTTCGAGCACCTAAACTAAAAGACGCGAAGTCGGTTAAATGAACGAGAGTAACGCTTTAGATGCTTTCGTATTTTTATGTTTCACGGATGTGTCAAGACGATTTTCCATGAATGCCTTTGTTTCATAGCCACCTGCAGGTCAGGATGTAAAAAATTGAGGATGGTCCCAAAAAAAACCGAAACGCAGGATGCAAATTTCGGTTATTGGTTATGGGCCACTGTTATACATATTACGTTTATCTATTTTGTTAAAAAAAATGCCCAAATACAAATCGACGTGTCCCCACCCTTTTTTAACCACCAATCGTGTAAATTTGTATTATTGAATTCATATTTGCCTGATATACACAACAGAGAATTTCAGAAATCCCGCGAATAATAAGGTCACGATCCCATTACCAAAAGGTAAGTGGTATATCCCCCGGTGTATTTGGTAAAAAAAGAAAATTTGCCAGATACCACTGGCGCACCTGGCGATTCTGCCCAAAAGTTTTTCAGCTCGTCCTTTTATGCCTAAAAATATGTGCACCAAATTTGGTTCCAATCAGTTCAGCTGTATAGCGAGAAATGAGAGTACAGACAGACATCATCAAGATTTTGTTTGATTCGGTTTCCTGGTGCATCAAAACGTATATTTCCGTCAAAAAGGTGGGGTGCCATTTTTTACCCCATTGCAATACTAACGCGCAGATGGTAAAAAAATCCCTTTCAGCTCGGCCGATCAGGTGTTGGTAGATTTCTTTAACCGCATTAACATAGTGTCCGCCATTTTGTTCCAATATAGCAGAATTGGATGATTCAATTCAGTTCAATTTAAACAAGTATAAATTGTGCACAACACTTGTGCAGATAAAGCGCATTTTTTAACCGAAATAGCTTTTGTTTTGGCATCACCAATGGATATATTTCTTACAGACGTCTCAATCGCCCTTTGTGAGTACCCTCTTCCGACAATCCGGTCTTGAGGTATAAGGGAATATACCCGATCACGATAAGGGGTTGAGGCGGAAGGCTATGGTTGGTAGAAATTAATTCCTTTCGTTGAGACCTTTCATTAGAGTACCATGAAGGATAAAACTAGTTCCACTCCCTCCACCTCGTACTTTGATAAGAGGACAGAAAGAAGGGCAGTAGTTGGTAGAAAACGGTTCGTTTCGTTGAGACCTTCAATTAGAATACAATGAGAGATAAAATTAATGTTTAATACCTCCCCCCCCCAGGCCCCGTCGCTAACTGATCTCGAAAACGAGTCGCATGGGAGACCCCCTTTTAGACAGCGAAATTTGATGGCCGTCTGGCACACCTTCAAGGTATAGGGTACATATTGCAAAAAATTCCAGGACTCTAGGACCATTCCTCTAGAAGTAGTTCAAAACGATAGAAGTGGGTCCGGACGGACGGACAAAACGCAAACAATAGCACATTTTTTTTAATTCTTAAAAAAAATGCGCAAAAATTGGTTGTGGCTAGCACAGATACCACCCACGCATATGGGCGATTCTGCCCTTTTATCTCTAAAAATATGTGCCCAAAATTTGGTTCCAATCGCTTCAACCGTTTAGCCGGAAATGGGAGTACAGACGGACCAACATCATCGAGTTTTTATAGATCCGGATTCCTGGTGCTTCAAAACGGGAAGGAGGGGGGGGGGGGTATTCCAATGCAATATCTCTCTTATTAACAACGTGCGAGTGGCAACTAGGGCAACCCATTTAAATAGCAAAGTGTGAGTAGCTGCAAGTTTACCTGAAACGGATTCATTGAAATCTATTCGTATTAGTTTTTCAAATAATAATCACCCTGTCGATTCCCGAATTTTGGACCAATCGAAACCCCTGTCGGTGCAGTTCACGTGAGCCGTCAGTTGGGTAATTAAATTCCTCGCGCTGCAACAGTCACGTATAAAAAATGAAAGTCCATTGTTACGAGTATAATCAATTACGCTTATTAAAGGAAAGTATGTTACCTACTTATAGATGCAACATTACGGTTACCTACACCGCCCTTATAGATTTTTGAGGGTGTTGGTTAAATTTCGAACGGGAGATGGCGCAGTAATAGAAACAAAAGAGGAACCGCGATTGAAATTTCGACAGGCGGCCTTCCGTCGAGCGCTACATCATAACTGTAACTACATTGCATTACGTAAGTGATAATGTGAAAGAATGTATGTACTTAAAACGTGAAAAGAATCAAGGTTAGCCGATTTATTCCAAATGAACGCGCACACGTGCCACAATCGGCGATTTGCTGTTTTATGGTCAACCCCTTTGCTTGACCTTCTCGAGTGTTTTAAAGTACAAAGCACAAACATAAACTAACCTTGCCATTTCTACACATACGCTTATTACTAATAACGTCCAATGTCAATTTAAAATGGTCCTTGAAACATGCAATTGCATACGTCACACAGCTCTTATCTCATTTTTAAGTACAGCAAAACGCTTTGTGTATAAATGCTGACGTACATTGCGAGTAAATACCGTCACGGGTACGACAGAGAAAGACGACAAAGCGAAGTGTAAACAGAACTACCATATGACCTTTCTCCCCACCTGCGAAAGTTGGCCAATAGATAGATATAGGTCAAAGTAGTTAACCAATGGCGCGCGTTCGCGTAGTCACGTGGTTTTGTTGTTATCATCAGCTGTGGCTAGGCCGCTATGTGCACTGGAAAATGAAGTGACGGTATGCTTACTATCGCTATCTTCGTTTATTTTTAGTAATATGTAAGCGATAGTGTACAGCGACAGGTGTATGTATCAGCTGATTCCGCTCGCCGGCCGGTCGCGCTCAGCAGTCAGCGTTCAACTGTCACAAACGCCGTTAGCCCACGTTCTTGTATTATGAAATATAGTAGTAGTATGTGTTTTAATTGGCAGAATAGAATTTTGGATTTTAACACGCTCGCAGTGCGCTTCAACCCACAACAGGAATCCTTACAGAAAATTTTGGTGCGAAGGCTCTATTTTAAAGATACGTTTTCTGTTGACGAGTGATAACAAACTTTTTCACATTCCTCCCGTCGTGCGTTTCGCGTTTTAAACTTTTTTTACGATGTCTACTGGTAAAAGATTGGCGAAGAGATCGATTATCGGTACGAGAGTGTGTGCTCCCGGCGAAGACGGCAAGTTTTATTCGGGCGTAATACACGCGGTCAAAACGCCGGCGAGCCAATCGGAAAATAATAATTGTATCAATTTAACGCCGAACACTCGGTATTCGGTGCGATTTGATCCGCGACAGGGAAATCTGGGACGTACGACGGCCGAATTTCGGGAAGTCGACCTTATCGGTCCCGGATTTCGCAGTATCGGCGGAATTGAGCTTGTTTATGGACAAAAAGCGTTCGTTACGTATAACGGTCGCGAGGTTTGCGGTGATGTTTTAAGTCATGACTTAGAAAGTGACGAGGTCATTATCACGATATTTCCTCCAGGCGCCGAGGTAGGTATCGAACTTTTTGTTTTACGTAATTGAAAGTCGCCCAAATTATTGCTGATTTGATTGTCTTTAATTAGTGGCTAAGTAGCCTTGGCCAACTTGATCACTTACGGTACCCAAAACAAGCATTGCGCGTGTACGGAAATCCCTCCTTTAATCACTGCATCCTAGTGACGTCACTCTTATAAACAAGCTTTCATGGTCGATTTTTTTTATTACCCGCTCCCACGGCACAAACAAACAGAAATCGCCCAGAATATATTTGTCGTGTAGGTAACGCCAAGGCGTCATCCCCGGAATTGACCTTACGCACAATTGCCACTAATTGGGTCATCATCGTCGCTATTATTACAACATTCACATTCGCGCGAAGTTGCGGAATTGAAAAAATAGGTTGAAACCTCGGTGAATGTGGCGTCCCACTTTATTATATAAAATTATTAAGAAATTGAATTTCGCAAGTTCACCTGTGACGCCTATGCCTTTCTCCGTAAATAACGTAACGCAAACCACTTCTATTATCCTTTTACTCTTAATGTTGACGGTCGTTTTTTTCACTTTCTTGCTTCCAATCCAGCACGGGGTGTTTATCTTTGTTAGCGTTTAAGTGGGTCAAGCGGGTAGCGAAATGCCATCGAAAGGGAATTGTATTTTTTCGCACGATTTGATAGTCACTTCCACTTGTAGAAATGCTAGGATATCATGAAAAACTCAAAATAGCTTTCAAATTCCAAAAAATTGCTAGCGCTACAGTAAATGCAACAAGGCAGTCTTGAATTTTTGAAGTGCGTACATTCAAAAAATGACAAAAATTGTAGATTGGGGGGGGGGTGTCTAAATTAAAAGTTTTTTAAATTCTAAAAATAAGAAACTAATCTAAATTTTATATTTCCACTTCCGCACAGGTGGCTTGCAGCTATTGAACCGGTTACTCGCCGCTTAAGGTAGTAGGAAACCTACGCCCATGGTTTAACAAAATAGTTTTTTATGCGGGACCAGGTAGTACTAAACAAAGTATCTAATTTTCAGAAAAAAATATAAATAATAATAAAGATAACGTATCGGAAATGAAATTCCATTATCAGTGATAATTATTATTAGGTAATCATTGTTTTGGCTTGATATTTAAAAGTATGAAGGGCAATATTTGTACCCAAGGTAAGTATAATTCTTTCTCAAATGGGTTGGAACTCGGGTTGGAACCATAGACATTTTTTTTTAATTAAAAAAAAATTGAAATTTGGAACCACAAGCTTAAAAAAATTTTTTTGAAGATTCAAAAAATTATATTTACCTATTGAAAATGAGTCCCCACTTTTTATCTGAAAGGCATTAAAAATTTGATTCGTTCGTATATTGAAATTTTGATGAAGTAGGAACTTCTAAGCAAATCCACGGGGGCATCAGAATTTCGTATTCTGAAAATGCTTTAGAGATTTCTCCGCTTAAAGTTTTGGGAGTGATTTAAACAGTTCAACACATTTGTTCTAATTTTTTTTAAATTTAGCAAAACACTAAAAACATTTCTTTAAAAAAAGACAAAATCAACGTCACAGTCACAGCAAATTACTGAATTTTTCATTTCACAAAATATTGAACGCTCCCGGCGGAAATGGAGAACTGCGTTTCCCTAAAAAATTTTAATTTGCAACATTTAGCAATTATAAGATAATGGTTTTGAATCGTCATTATCAAAATTGTAGTTACCGATCTACAGGGTGTTATTTTACACCGTACATTTTACAATTTCAACCTTAGTTTAAAACATTATGCAAACACAAGATACAATTTCAAATTAGAACTAATTGACCCAATTATCCATATAAATCCAGGGCCTCTGGACCATTTTAAAAATTTTACTTTTATCTAGCTAACAACCGAAAATTGATTTTTCTTTTTTTTCTGGATAAGGGATTTAGGACCACCCTGTATAGCAAACAGAAAGTTTATAGAAAATTACGGAATCGTATTTGTAAATTTTGGGAATCAAAAGACAATTTCACACCGGATACGTTGTTCTCAGTAATGTATACGAGGTTGCTTCAAAAAATTTTATTTTTTTTATTAGGTGACCAAACCAATTAGTACAAAAATCAATTTATAATAAATAATAAATATATATTCATCCTGTAAGACAAACAAAGTGTATAGGATAAGTCAATTAAACACAAATAAGACAAACATTTGACATTTAGCCTAATGTATCGAATATTAACAATTTTGAAATTACTTTTTCGGTCGGATCACAGGGATTTTGCCAAACTACATTTGAATGAAGCGTTCAATGGTTCTTTTTCCTATTATGTTAGCACATAGGTCAATTATTAATTATTTATCTGACCAACATCGTATAAATTATTGAAACACTACGTACAAGGTGTAAATGTACAGGGTGGTTCAAATTCGTGGCTCACCATTGGGATCGCCGTAACGGTGAGAGATACAGTGTAGGTTTGAAATTTTTGAAAAATCTTTAAAAATAACATATCAAAAAACTGAAAATGTCACATTTTGTTTTCATTTTCCCAACTTAAACGGTTGGAAATGTACGGTTCCCGTTAGCACCTTCAATGGGCACTTTTTTTCGGAGAATCTGAGCCTGTTATCGGAATTTACATAGCACGCTAATGTAAATGCTACAGGGTACTAGTTTCTTATTTATTATGGGCGCCATATTGGATTTTCACGCAATGAGATAGAAGGCAAAAAGAATAATGACACACTATACATTGACATAAATTCGAGCATAAATTTGACAAGAAAAATAGACTAGAATCTAGAACTAGATCTTGCTGAAGCAACAGGGCTATGATTCTCCAAAAAAAGGGCCCCATAGAAGGTGCTAACGGGAACCTTCCATTTTCGACCGTTAAATCTAAGGGATACGAAAACGAAATTTTCAGTTTTTCGAGGATAACTCCGTTATTTTCAAAGATTTTTCAAAAATTTTGTCATATATATCAGCCTATATATTTTGACAATTTTTTGGTTAGTTGGAAATTTTTATTCGCTCCAAATAATTTTAATTTCTAATAACACACAAAAAGCAAAGGGGGTGATAAATTATGGGCGAATAAAACATCAAAATTTAGGAAATTTTACACTCTTTTCAATATATAGGATGGTCCATATGAAAAAATGTAGTTTAAGGTCGTATAAGAAAAAGCAAACACACATAAAAAGTGCTCTAAGATAGATTTTGTCAAACTCAATTATTTTTAATAATAAGAAACTTATGGGGCATTAAAGAAATCGACTAAGTTCAGGAAACGTCCCATACCGACCAAACGATTAGAGGTAGCCGAATTCTGTTTGCGCTCCACACACCTCTAGGTCCATTTTTTTCTATCTCTTAAAATAAAGGGTGTTTCCATAAGAAAGTGTTCAATTTAGACCACCCTGTACAAGGGGTACCATTTAAATTTTGAAATTGATGGTAACTTGCAATAAACGAGAATGTCAGGAAATACTACTTTGCTGCTTGTTTTTTCCCCACAATATCGCCCACGAAAATTTCATTGCCCATGTTGTCAATTCTATCAAAGTTACAGGGGCGAGACTATAATGGTTTACAGACCTATGCAGCGATGGGACTGTGCGCCCCTGGGACAGTGTTTCATTTTCATATGTCTGATTGGAGTGATTGGACCCCCGCAATTTTAACTTTGCGATTGGGACGCAATACTCATAATTAGCATCTAATTACAGGCCGGGTGCTACAACTGCTATGACTAATTAATAAATTTACCATTTGCGATTGACAAAGAGAATGGCCACATTTCAGTATGGCTGAGAAAATGAACAATTCTATTACAGTCTAACTCATCTTTCATCAGAGGCTGGGCTAATTATTGAATAGGAGAGAACACGCCTTCACTGATGACCAATAATTGGCACAGCAATTCGAATATATTTCAGTAACAAACTTGGAGATTTTTGAAAAAGCAACACCGCCTTTGTCTTGCGCTTGCCAGTTTCGCGCAGCAAAATGAAACGGTCCAACTTTAATTACACAACGACTAGAAAATCTTGTAAATTACATATTGCCAGTTTCAAATAAGCAGCTGCGTAGTTTTACAATGCGGCGCGGCCGGATTTGATTAATTGAAGATGTAGGTTAAATGCTTCGCTATTTTCCTACCGGGTTCGCAAATGCATTACGGCACACAACCGATTACCATTTATGCCGTTAGCCGTAATTGTGCGCTGAAAAGTAAAATAAAAAAATAAAAGGCGCACGCATTCCATTAATTGCAAAAAACAGTTTGCTTAATAACGAGTGCGCGCCGTTGCCAAACTTTGCATTCCATCTTACGACGAAAATGCCTGGCGCGTACAACAAAATTCCCGTTACACGAATTTATCTAAGTAGGTTAAAAAGTAAAATAAACAGAATTTTGTTTTCGGTTTGGTCTTCTTCGGACGTCACACACAAAACAAGGGAGGAGCAGGAGGAGGACGCCCACGTTTTCAATTTTATTAGCAACAAAACGGGCGTCCTTCGTTTGCATCAAAAACGATTATGTAACAAATTACATACGCTACCCACACAGATAATTAAACAGATGTAGATATGTGTCAAACTGTACTTTATTATGTCAACATCAGCGGGCGAAACGAAAATAGGCCGTCAAGACGGACGTGTGCGAAAAATGAGTCATTAACATGCGGGCGATTATTACGCAATTTTATTTTTGGAAGATGGCGCTTGCTGAGGTCAATAATGATTGAAATCGCCGCCGTTTCGTTTAAAATCCCGCAGTTCCAGTTAGCGATTAACCGTACAAAGATTTGTATGTCAAAGTAACGGAACCGAAGAGGAAGGTGTTGTTTGTGTTTATACCAAAGCAAAGTAAAAACAAAAACAACCGTAAATTTAATCGAACCCTCCGCGTTAACGTGGAGCGTTGCTTTAAAAGACAACTAGGTCACAGGTCGATGGGAAATTGGGTCGCACGCGTAAGCCCGGCCCGGGTTTCTGGGCCATTGTGTGTCCTATTTCG